ATAATCTGCTTTTATTGGCATTCTACTTACCATGATTTATTTATAATTTATTGAAACTCAGGTACAGCAGCATGCTTGTTATACTGTGTGCATCATAGCTAGCTTATCCCTAATAATCATGTTCATTACTTGAACAAAACTCATGCCCCCAGTTTATTGCAAAGATCTATCCCTGGCTCAATTGGTGTGTGATGGACCACTGTGGGGAGACTGCTGCTGCCAGGGAAGAGGAGTTTGGGCACACTGGGGTGATCAGCTAACTAAATTACAAAATTAAGACTGTTTAAATATATAGTATATTTCGACTGCATATTGACTGTTTTACTTTATTTATTTTAAAAAATTAAATTGTACAAATGTAGGGTTTCCTTTTATGGTTCAGCTAATATAGCAACATGAACCATAATGAGTTGAAAAGGACATGCACTTATTGTGCATCCCATCCTTTCTTAATGACATGCTTTATTTCCTCCATTCATGCCAAAGTGGGTATTCCAATACATTTAAGTAATCATAAGAGAAGTGTAAAGATGCCCATAGCATAGCAGGACAGTTGGCTGTTCAGTCACAATGCATTTTTACCCCTCTATCTCTGTGAGTTCTCCATAAAAACAAGGCAAACGTTTGTGTTTATGGGTTTATGGCAGTGGAGAGAAAAGAAAGCAGAAGAAAGGCCAACATTGTTTATTTCAGGAGATAAAATTAAGACCCAGAGCCAACAGCATTCGCAGATACTGTATGTGATTGTTAGCCAATATGGCTGCAAATGGTTAGATCTGATGACTGTCATCTCATACCTGTGGAAGCTTTAAACTTTTGTTTAATCTAGACTGTATATGAGATCTTTTTTTTTTCAGGATAACAAAAGAACTAAGTGTGGCAGATAAGAGGCCATTGTCTCATCACATATTAAATATAAATTATACACATACCAGTAGGTGCCAATTTATAATAAAATGAGCAGCAGATATGGTTAGAGGACCTCCATGCGATGACATTTTTACTTTCATAGTCTCTTTCATTGAGAATGCTAAATGCATTAAAAATCCTATGGGTCTACTCTTAATATATTAGAGTCACATAAAATGCAATCAAATGTGCAATTTTACAATAAACCCAAGTAGTGCACTGTGAGGTATACATACATCATTCATTTGATTTGTTAAAACCTACCTTTATTATAAACATTTTCTAAAACATTGAAAATGATCATGCATATAATAAAACAATGGAAATACATAGTGAAAATACCACCAGACAGAGGTCAGTTTCTAAAACTTTGCTTGTGGAACTTGGAGCATTTCATACTATCTACAACAAATCCAAGCAGCCACTGTAAAGCTTAGAATGTGGCCTAGTCTATGGCTGTTTGCTGCAGGATGGGACTGCAACATTTCAGATTAATTCATTTTGGTTTAAAATGTGTCCTAATTATAAAATTTCCAGTAGGCCATATATAGTATTTACATATATGAGTTTATTTCTATAAGTCCAGATATACAGTAACTAGGTTATACATTCTACCTTAATGTTAATTCCCTCCTAGATGGGGGTGATCATACTCTGAGGAATTTTGGTGGGTTTTTCACCTAGTTGCAAATTCATCTTGCTTCCACTTAAAGAGCTTTCCACTCAAAATGCATAGGTAGAATTTTGTGAGCTTATATAGCGGTTGGCTTTCTAATAATTCTTGGAGATCTTCCCACCATAGTTTCTGGTTCTCAAGTCCACACAGATAACACTACTGGATTTCCAAAGCAATATCAGAAAGTTCAGGGAAGTTAACTATCCCACTTCCACCAAACACTGAAATATCATATTTAGAATCGCTAACCTTTATTGTTTCCCCTTGAATCAGGCACAAGCTGCCACTGGACAGGTATCTTTCCAGTGCACTTGATACACCAAATATCTCATAGAGATATACGATCCTTTTTGACAAATTACTAAAACCATTGCACAATTGGCTCAACAAATTGTGAGGTCTACAAGAATTGTAAAGTCTGTAAAAACGTCCAGGGATTAGAGAGATGAAAATCTGATGAGTGTAAGCCACAACAATACTGAACTAGCTTCTTAAAGGTACTCATAGACTTTAGCTAATATATTAATCTGGTAATCATGTCAAATTATCTGAAAAGTCAGTGGGGTATTAGCAGACACTGCCGACTGAGGCTCGTTGGGAAGTCATACTGCTGGCTAAGAAAAACTTGCCCAATCACATGGTTTTTACTCCTGACAAGCTAGTGGTGCCCAGAGCACAACTTTCTTACACCTGCCATAGCCTAACAGGGAATAGTCCAGTTAAGGGACCTGGCAGCTCACAAAGATGCCTGAGGGCTTTCTTCACACAAAATGCAGACCAGATCTGCATGAGTTTCTGCACACGCAGTGCCGTGTGTTTTGCCGCATTTGTTACGCATTTTTGACACGTTCCGGGCCATTTTTGTAAAACAAATTTTTTTTATTTAGACTAAAATGGTCTTTCAGTGCGTTTGCATGCGTTTTTGATGCGTTTGCATGCGTTCCAGAGCAGGAAAAATAGGGCTTGCTGCAATTTTTTTTACATGCTCTAGAACTGAACGCTGCGGTGTGAACTAGAGCCCAAAATACCATTGGAATACATTGGACGCAGTTTTGATCCGTTCTGTAACTGCTCTGCTCTGCACCTGCTCCGCACTTGGTGTGAACTAGCCCTAAGAGGGCTGTGATCATGCCCATACATTATGTCTATGGTGTTTTGGTCTATTGGTGATGTTTAATAAGAAAAGGAAATGAAACAGGAAACATTAGGTAGGTGTTCTCTGTCAAATAGAATTGTGCCAGATTCAATAAATAAGTTGTCATGAAGCATGAGGAATTTGCTACTATGTGAACAAACCATTTGAGTATTCTGAGCAGGAATCAGACTGCAGCACAAGTAAAACACAAGAAAAAAGACACCGTCATGTCTAATAGCAACACCTTAGGAAGTAGTCATAAAAAGCATGTGGAACTATGGCAAGTAAGCAAGTCAATTATTTGCTGCAGCTGGAGAATTCATCTCAGGAGTAGCAAAGTAAAATGTAAATGCACAATTTATATTCATTTAGGCTGGGTTCACACTTGGGCGTTCGTAATATGCGCGTTTGCCGCGCATTTCGGGCCGCATATTTTTACCGCGATTTGCGCTCAACGAAACGCGCGTTTACAAGGGCTATCCAGCTGTATCCTAATGGATCCGCGCGGAAAATACGCCCCAAAGAAGCTCCTGTACTTCTTTGGGCGTTGTGCGTTTTTCAGCGCGTTCCTACGCGCTGTAAAACGCCCAGGTGTGCACCATGCCCATAACAAATAATGGGATTTCAGTGTTTGCGCGTTTTACAGCGCGTAATAACGCGCTGTAAAACACCCACGTGTGAACCAGGCCTTAAACTTACTTATAAATGGAGTGTTTACATTTTACTTTGTTTTTCCTGAAGCGGGAGCGAGGATCGCTCTAAAACACGTCAAGTTGTTTTATTAAAGTTGGAGTTTTTTTATCTGCACCTTTCTTCTGGAAATCTCTGCCCTGCATTGCTTCTATCCTGCATGCATTATTCAAAAAGCGCTGTTACCATGATGTTTGTCATACACGGCCACTTGCTGAGGTAAGCCTTTTTCTTGTGCATCTGTTACTTTCTATTTAAACCGTAGATGTGTAATCATTCAACAGCACCATTTATAGAAGATACCTGGGCAAGAGATAGCTACAGAGACAAGTTCTTCTACTGCAGTAAAGTATTTACAAGCTTACTTGCCATGATTCCAAATGTATTTTTCTGGCTACTTCCCATGGTGAGCACTAACTACTTGCTTCTGGAAACACACTTTACTGCTGCTCTTACAGGTGCCCCTATCCTTCTTTCTTGTGTTGCAGTGAGTAGCTGCCTTGGAGATCTGCAATCCAGGAAAAAAAATCCAAGGATGCATTACCTATGCACACTCACGGGTTAATTAATTTATGAATAGCAGGAATTAAAGGTACTGTTTTATATAAATAAAAGAAAAGGAAATTAGCATAAAACTGGAGTGCTTGGCCAAAGCTATGAAACAAAACTCTTGTTAACTTTCTCAGTAACTCCCTCTTGTAAACTAAAATGCAAGTAAAATGTATTTCTTAGTTTATCATCCTTTCTCATAAACAGCAGTGTCAGGGAAGCAAGCACTGGCATTTGCTTAGTTCCTAATGTACAATGTACATGCACAAGAGATTCTAAAAAGACCCGGAATAGAGGCACTTTGAATGGAGCAAACTTGATTGGCCAAAAGTCTCAATGCTGCTGATCGTTGTCCACTATGCTTTACACAAGTACCCAGAATCAGCTCCTCTGTTCTTTTCTCAGCTAGCCGGATCTGCAAAAGCTGAGCAAACAACAAGAGATATTGTGGACAGTCAGTTTAAAGCACCAGCTCCTCACGCTAGATGTCTCAGAAATATACAAACTGCATTGAACATACCATCAAATGCCTTCTTCTATCTTCTGGTCTGCAGTGAATTCATCCAAGGCGAGCTAAACATATTAGTTATTGTGCTTTGTCTAACTTGAATAGCAAACTCAATATGAAAGGACAAAAGAACTGTAGGAATGAGCAAAAGACAAATTATGACGTAATTACTGGTATGTTTTTAATCTCCTAGATCGTACTGACTCATGTTCTGCTCTCATAGGTATTATTAAATGGTTAGGTCATTTTTGGCCTTGTTTAAGAGACTGGTGCTTTAATCAAAATAATCTTATCTCCACCATCCTTTGCTTTGTCATTATATTTAATAATAGTATTGCCTATTTGGGTAGGATTGTCTTTTGGCCAGCAAGAAGACAATCAAGACAATGGTAAAAATTAAAACTCCTTCATTGAGAACATTATGAATGATCAAGCATTAAGGAGAAAAGGTGCCATTAGACTGCAGTAGAACTGGTTTGAGCATATGACACAGGTAGCATGTAATGTTATACATTTTCATGCATAACATTACCTCAGATATTCTTCCTTGCAAGTTGCTTTTCTGCTTTTCTTCTTTTGAAAGCGACTATGTCATCCTGCAGCAAACCATGACCCATTTGCCTGTGAACGATATCAAAATAGTGACGTAAAAACAAAAAACACAGTTAGGTGGATAGCAAGAGGGTATCCTGCTCCGGGACCACATGGTCTCTCCGCTTACCCTGACTTCAGCACTGGCGGGACAGGTAACGGTTTTGTAAAACCTTCTTTTCCAACCAGCCAGAATGTCTCTTCAATACCTTTACCCTTATCCAAAAGAGACAAAGGACAACATTACAAGAAGGCTTTGGAGGAACTCCGTTGTTCCACCCAAGATGGGCTAATAAGCCTTCATTCCAATATAGAAGACGCAATAATACATATACCAATATTTTAGACATACTAGAATCAATATATACAGACACGTTACTTGAAGTAAATTTGCAGTGAGTTAATAAGGAGGCGGGAATTTCTGAACTCTCATTCTGAAAATGTTAATTGCCTTGTTGTCATGCCGTTCCAATGGCTTCAGTACTTTTTGAAGCACTGACCATAAACACATTCACAGCTCATAATTTCTGATCTAATGATGACTTTTTAATCTGTAGACTTGCTCCAGGTCCGGGGCTCAGAAAGGGATGAAGCCAGAGGCAGCCAGGCAACCAATATACCTAGAAGGAGATCAACAGTGGCAGCCACTAATTATTTTACTGCAGGTTTCCTTTAATGGAACAAGGCTTTATTAAATGCAGAGCTTGAAATGTATTGTTAGTTTCATATTTCATGTAATTTGATGTAAGAAGTGAAAATGTTTCCTATCTACCAATTCATCTTTCAAGGACAAACATACCTTTACCACAAATATGATATTGTCACATTATGGTCCTCACAGAAGATCAATAATAATATCTTCTCATGATGGTAGAAATTTCTTGATCTGTTTGGTCAAACTAGCTGCATTTGTTTTTTTCATATTTTTTTTCTATTCACTCATAATAACTCTGATAACATTATGGTTACAAGATCTGCCTGCTCCCATAATACAGTCAGCATCCTTTTGTCCACCCCATGCCACCACTTTAGCATTCTCCAAGTAATCATCTCAAAGGCTATGCATATTCATAAGCTGATCTTTGTATATTGTAAAAACAGAAGTCTTTTTAAATTCTTTCCTGGAAACTAGGCACAGATGTACAGAAAAGGTTTTCTTAATAGATTCAACATAAAGCAGGTTATGTACAAATAAGTAAACATGGCTAATATGAATGATGAAATAGAATTCTAAAAGGCTTCTTTGGTTCAGAAAAAAATAAGAGTCATTGCAAAAAAAACAAGAGAGAAATGCTGCAACAATGCTGCAACAATTTAGAAGTCAATCTTGAAATAGTTTACATTATTCTTGAAATTATAGTCTTATTCTTGTAATAGAGAAATGTTAAACCTTAGTATCAGTTTGGGAATAGAAAAAATCATAAAATAAATCAACATGCAAGGCTTAGTTCAAAGTTGACTTATTAAAAAAAAAAGATGTTCCCTCACATGATTTCTGCTGAAGAATTGTTCTGTCTAACCTACCCCTCCAATAGAGGTCACATGAATAATTAAGCCTTTAGATATGTGATGGTTACTGAAGGGAACCTAGAGCAAAGCTTTTTCCAGGAGAACACCTAACCACGCAGAACCAATTACAGTTCACATTGCATATACTGCAGAAACTCCCAATATAATTTATATAACTACCACTGGCTACATAAAAATAAATAAACCTAATACAGATATTCCTCACAACTGTCTTTTTTAGTTGAACAACCCTTGTTTAGAGGCTTGATACTAACTCCAATTTTTTAAAACTGACAGTTAACCATCCGTTTTCTACAGTAACTTTTCTACATCAATTTTCTGATCAATATATGGTCATCAAATGGTCACGACCGTTACTACTTTCTACATTATCAGCTAGTGTTCACTGTGTTCATTATCACTGTGTTCATGACAAAATGCCTTTGAAGTCTTACAATTCCATAGAAACTGACCTAAGTACAAAATAACTAGTGATATCTTACAGGGAGCCTGTTGTGCAGAAATTCAAGTCACTTACCTTCAGCTCTGTCCTTCCTCTTAATTCCAGTATGTATCCTTCTTTTAAAGATCTGAGTGTTTTCACAGTGCTCTGATTGACATGGATTCGATAGGCTGGGGAGAAAAAAGACGTAACATTAAAATGTTTTACAAGAAATGTAATTGTGCTTTCATTTCTTCTAATTAGCATAAGCTACTATAAGTTATTGGAAATGTATCAGCATTGTCAATATGAACCAATCATAGTCCATTTTTGTTCCTTATTCTATAACAAATTAGAAAACAAAAGAAAGTCTGTAAGTGGAAGCTGTAAATACATAGATTCTCTTCTTTCAGATGTTATGTATATATATTTGAGGCCCACGAATACTTTGTCGTAGCCAGTAGTTTGTGTTAAGCCCACCTCTTGTCAGTGTGGTTATACATTTAGTGTTCTGTAAATAAAAGTAACAAACAATGAATTTAACAATAAAGCTCCTATTAGGCAAAAAGGCATAGGTACAATAGGTAAAAAATATAGAAAAAGTAATACATTTAGTCAAATACGTAAACAATTGTTACATTCTAGTAAAGCAATAATTTTTTGTGTAAGGCCTTGTTCACACCAAATGCAGAGCAGATCAGCTCAGGTCTCTGCACACGCAGTGCAGTGGGTTGTGCCGCTTTTTTGATGCGTTCCGGGTCATTTTTTTGCTTTAGTTTAACATGGGCTTTCAGTGCGTTCCAGGCATTTGCATGCATTTTTGATGTGTTTTTGATGTGTTTCCATGCGTTCCAGAGCAGATCCAGAGCAGGTAAAATAGGGCTTGCTGCAGTTTTTTCACCGCACGCTGCAATGTGAACTGGAGCAAAAAATACCATAGGAATACATTGGACGCAGTTTTGATCCGGTCTGCAACTGCTCTGCTCTGCACCTGCTCCGCGCTTGGTGTGAACAAGGCCTAACAGTATAAACAATAACAATGTACAAATACTGAAATACATTTTATGTATTGTAAATCTATATTCATTTACCTAATCACCAGATTGTTTATTTTTAACAGACTTTTCTTTGAATCAGTTGTTTTTACTCACGTGACCCTGTTGATTCCATACGGGAAGCAGTATTTACTGTGTCCCCAAACAGGCAGTACCTTGGCATTGTCAGGCCTACTACACCAGCTACCACAGGCCCTAAGGGGAGAAGGTATGGAAGTATTATTGATTCACATTAGCCGGTAATATACAGACATGTTTTAATTTGATTTTAATTTAATATTTGTCTGACTGATTTTTTAAATTACTATGGGGGGAATTTATCAAAACTGGAACAGAATCTGGAGCAGTTGCCCATGGCAACCAATCAGCTTCTCTCTTTAGTTTGTTCTGTTAAGATTTGAAAATGAAAGATAGACGCCGATTGGTTGCCATGCACAGCTGCTCAAGATTTACTCTGCTCCAGTTTTGATAAATCCCCCTCTACAGTATATATTTTACAAATACATTCCAAGACATTCCTATGTCAAATTGCAAACAATTTTATACAGCTACAAAAAGGGAAAGCACTAAAATATGTTGCTGCACAGCAATTATCAAATGTGTAATGATGCAATTACAAAAAATGTATACAGAAATACAAACAAATGTACTGAAAATCATAATGAATACTAGTAAACAGTAGCTTACCCGTGATACATATACTGGATAAAAAGTGGTTCTCACCAATCTCACCAATATCTGTAGGGGATCTAGGTCTTAGGGCTTGTTCACATCACTTCAGTTGAGCTGTGTTGATCTATATAGATCAATGCAGGCTTAATGCCAGGGCACATAGAGAACAACTGTATTATATGTGCCCTGTTCACACTACAACACTACCTTGAAGTCGGTTGCAATGTGTCTCATAAAAATCTAGACATGCATTTTTTCCCAACGCACCTCACCTCATGTCTCTGCTGGTCACCGCACCGCAGCCTGGCTGAGGTCCGTAGGAAAAAAAGTTTTAAAAACGCAAGCCACCACCTCTCCCCGCCGCTGCACAATGGACCCATTTAATGTACGGGCTGGTGTGAACAAGTCAAGAGTATAAAGCAATATTAACCTTAGCAAACCAACCAATACTAACTTTCAGGCTCTGTAATGTGCAGTAGTAAACATAGACAAAGTTAATGAATGTCAGAGCTGACGCTTAAAAGAAAATGTTCATGTACTGACTATGGTAGAGTGCAAATCCCAGGGAGCAAGAAGAAGGATTAACCAGTCAAATGAGTAGGTAAACCAACAAGCCCCAGCTTTAAAATATTGTGGCAGAACCACTTCATCAGGGTGTATTTTTGTATACTCATGTTTTTGGTAATTGCAAAAGTAAACGTCTTTTGTAATTCCTGTGCAGCAACTTGCTGCGTTCTCTTTTTTTGTGGCCTATTAAAGATACATGACATATACTTATATAAAACATAAGGAATCAGTATTTAACACTGCGGTAATATCCTTGTTGTTAACAATACAGAAATATATTTGAATTTTCTGAGGCTAATGTCTTCAAATTAATTGTTAGACTGTTTTCTAAACAAAATGGTAAGGTCATAAAAACGATGGCAGACATTGCTAATATAAATATAATAAGGAAAACTGCTCAAACAATTAATGTACTACAACACTTAAGGTGAGTTATTTACAAGTGATCGGACTGTGATTGTGTATAAAGCAACATCTCATGTGATCATACTAATACTGTATGTTAAGAGAGCAGACCAAATCTCTCTAACTTAGTTTTTATATGGAGGACCATTAAAATGTGTGTAAAGCCAAAGCATTCTATTTCAGTCTTGGATTGAGTATGGAATAGTTAAAACCTTTTCAGTCTTTAGTGCTGTGTCCAATTAATGTGATTTCACTTCCTGGCCCAGAGACACAAATGGAAGTGAGAGGAAATGTGAAAATAATTCATTTCATAGACAGCTGTTTCCAGACAAGGTGCCCCTACTGGAAAAGTTCCTCTCACCTCCTGTTCTGGAGACGACCATAACATTTTGGATTTCCTATTACTTTCTCTCATTACAAAGTAAAAAAACATGACTATCTAATGCTTCCTCACTCAATCCAAAACTAAAGAAAAAAGTTTGGGATTTAGGTACACATTAAGCTGGTAAATGTAAAAGCAATGTGAAAACCTGTTACAATGATCTGAAACGTTATAGGTCGCCGAGGTCCATGAATTCATTGAACCAACATAAGATCCAAAGAGCTATAGATTTACAGAGAGATGGCACACAGGTAAGAATTTTAGATATATTGGTTAACTGACTGCCCACCAGCAGATCTGATGAGGATGGAGATAACATAGGGATGTACCCTGTTTATCCATGAGAAAGTACTTTACCTGAATGTAGGCCAATACGTATCTTAACAGGGACATCAGGCATATGTCTCATTTTGAAAGATCCTACAGAGCTGAGAATATCCAGGGACATGTTGGCAATCTCCGCTGCATGCCTGTTCCCGTTCCTCTTAGGAAGGCCTGATGCGACCATGTAGGCATCTCCTATTGTCTCTACCTGTTATCACAAAACCCATGACAGAACCATCATTTATTATGGTGTACAAGATATTAAAGAAGGCTGTAACATATACTCATTTGTTCACTCCTTTTTTTTTGCATTGTAAATTGCATTGCACTATTTTTCCCTATTATTGCACTAAGCAATCAATGTTTTTGTACATATATATTTGCACAGATTTGTGTATATTTGCACAATTCTGCTTTTTTGCCCTGATGTAAATGACATTTTCACACATGGGAATGGTTTTATTCAGGATTGATTTATTTTATTTTTGTATACTTGTTTTCTTTATTCAGTGCTAAAATCTCTGTATGTACAGTACACTTGGCAATAGATTATATTGATGAAGGAGGTATTTGCTCAACCTCTGCAAGTTGGCATGCACTTAATCCCAATAAATGTATATACATGCATTTCAAGCACATATGCATGCATATTACATTAAAAATCAGAGTATGGAACCACAAGATTGATGGCCCAGCAAACCAACATACCAAAACAGCTAGCCCACCACTATATATAGAGGTCAATGGACTCTACAAACAGCAGTCCTGCAATGTGCAAAGTTTCTAAATGTTTTGATTGTGCACATTCAAACAACCTAACAGCAGGCCAGTGCAGATGTCTGTACCCTGAATAAATACCCATATTCTTTAGCCATGTTCTTTTTACTCAAACATTAAAAAATGAATGTAGTTGATAAATTAAACATAATCTCAAATTCCATGCCGCAGCTACAGTTATGTGTTAAAGACTAGTCATAACTTACCTTATATACATCATGATTTCCAATGACCGCATCAAATAATGTGTACAGGTCATTGAGAAGGTCTACTACCTCAATGGGCTCGCTCATGGCTGATATGGTGGTAAAACCCACTATATCACTGAAGTATAAGGTAACCTCATCAAACCATTCAGGTTCCACTGTGCAGCCTGTTTTCAGTGCTTCTGCCACAGATCTGAAAGCCAAGCAGTAGAAAAAAGGCATATCATAAAAAATTATGGCAATCATTGATTGTAACATACCCTTTCAACTGGAAATATGCAATATGTGCTTTCCCTATTTAACATTAAGATAAGTGTTTTCTGAGTTGTTTTTAAAAAATAAACTACTCACGGAGGTAACATTTGAGTTAAGAGCTTTTCAGTTTTCTGTTTTTCTATCTCCAGTTCTTCTGTTCTCTCACGTATTAAGTCTTCTAGGTTACTTGAATATTGTTCCAACATGCGCAGCATGGAATCAATAATGTTTGTTTTCTTTCCTTTATTGATGTTTTTAAACTGTTTGTTATTCAGAAACAAAGAAAACAGTAGGTATTTAACAGAGCGTACAAGGTACAAGGTGACAACATGTAACACACTACATTTTTCAACTGAATGTAGAAAACAAGAATTGACATTTTCCAGAGTTACTTCTCCTGTTCCTCTAAGCCAGGGGTAGCCAAACTCTGGCCCTCCAGCTGTGGTGAAACTACAAATCCCATGATGCATCTCTCTCCAGGAGTCATGTCTGTGGCTGTGAGAATCTTGCAATGCCTCATGGGATTTGTAGTTCTACCACAGCTGGAGGGCCGGAGTTTGGCTACCCCTGCTCTAAGCCAACTGCCATGCACCACTCCTTCTAACCTCTAGGCATGCAAAAGCTGGGGACATGAAAGAGAACATGAGGCTGGAAGAGACAAAATGCCTATTTTTGTTATCAGTACACCTATAATTAACTACTAGAAAAGTACAGAAATATGTCTAAATCTAATTGCAGATTGGAACTAGGTGTATAGACATGAGGATGGACTGTAAGTATGAAGTACACTATTCCAGTGTTTATCAACCAATGTCCTTAATTACCCCAAACAGGTCAGGTGTCAAGGTTTTCACTTGTGTGTACATGGTATTATATCAGTATCAGTGATTACTCTGGCTGGTGCATATGAAGGTAATTCTGAAAACATGATCTATGCAACAATCCAGGAGTAGCTGTGTTGCACTGTCATGCAAGACTGCATTCTGGAGCCTTTTATTTTACACAGAAATGCATTACAGAGTTGTCATTGCCATATTGTGGGGGTGACCATGTTTCACTTAATCAGGACTGCTGCACTAGGCCATGCCCAATGTTGCCCATTCACAAATCCGGTTCTGGTTAACCTACCTTTATTGGTAATAGATAGCCTGATCTGCCAATGGCATGAAAATTTAATTCTTAAATAATTGTATTTTACATCCTACTTTGATAATGTTTTTCTACATTTTGCTATCACCTCCGCACTCACAGCCTAATATTTACAACCAATATGCCTGATTTTGTTCAGTAAGGATCAGACCAGGTGTAACTTCCCTACAAAAACAGGACCTATACAGGGTTATTCACAAAAGGGTGAAGAGTTTTGAGAAGGCAGGAAGGAGAAGTGAGCCATCTAGGACAATATAGCTGATTTGGAAAAATTCTCCAATTCAGCGATGTTGTCCTAGATTGTTAACTTGTCCTGCCTTTGTCAAGCTCTTCACCCTTTCATGAATAACCCTGATGATCATAAGATTCAAAACTCTAGCACTTCAAAAATCAAACACTCAAAATAAAAAATATTATTCAACTTGCTGAAAAATCTTTGTGCAAACAGGCACTGGCCATTTTATTTTTTGATGAAGAAAATGAACAAAGGGTTTGCTATGCCAGGTTTGCCCTTTAGCTAAATCAGAGAGAAGATTGCACTAGATACCAACAGTTTTGCTTTGAGATCACAAGCAGTTTTCTACGGCTTGTTCTCAGTGAGAAATGTGCCCATATATGTCTTTTTTACAGATACAGGCAACCTACTTGATCAAATATTTCATCAAAAGAATGACGTCTGTCCGGCACTTCGTTCCAGCATTGTTTCATGAGTACAATGCACTCCATAGGAGCATGGTCAGGAGAGACCACTGGGCGGCACAAAGGAGGTGGTTTTTTAATCTTTGGGATGATTTCTAATAAAAAGGGAACAAAAAGTTGTAAAAATCTACAAGAATGATAAGCTTACTCATTTAGCATTGATAATAATAAGTGGTTACACAATATATACAGTAAATGAGTCAAAGCATACACAAACGTGCACATTTTCATGCAGGTGTTGTTTTGCAGTTATTCTAACTACTGTTAAGAGACAAGTGTTTTTAGTATTGTACACCTACATTTTGGAAGCCAGCATCTCATTGGATGTGACAGTGTTGTAGCGTCTCTACTTTAATGGGGTTAAAGAAAAAATGATATCATCCTATGGATATAATTAAATTTTTTTGACTGCTCCAGTTTGTATATACAAACCTTACTGTGCAGCGAAGTTGACAGACTGCCTCATTTTATTTAACATATTATGTACTTTCTTTGTGTATTTCAACACAGAGAGCAGGAGCTTTATTGAGCTGACATTCTTAATAATCATTAAAAACAGAAAGTGCATAGCAGATCAGTGGTGAACGTTTGCATAAGTTGACCGTAAAGTCAATTAGACATTATTATTGCAAAATATTGAAAGCAATTATGGTAAACGGACATTTATGCTCATCCACATGTTCCTCAGGAAGGCTCTGTTACCTTCTGGAGTCTGTTCCAATGTGCAAAATGGAGGTCCACGCACCACAACCTCCTGCATGATTATGGAAAAGCTATAAACATCTCCAGCAAATGTGCCATGCAGTGCTGCATGTGGATCTCTCAGAAGCTCTGGTGCTGTCCATAGCAACTCTGAAAAAACAGGGACAATTATTAGTCTGGGAAAAGCTCAGAAAAAAAATACTTGCTGAAAATACATTTCTTTTCCTTTAACAAAGTAAAACCCTCCACTCTCTGGATTTGGCAACTGTAATTGTGGCTGTCACCCAGAGATATTCCGCCTTAAAATGTGGCTATGCACCTGGCCCCAGCAAGCTTTCATCCCTGAGCATCAAAAATCATCCTAGACATCTATGGAGCTGGAGCTCAGGCACTTAAAGTAACCCTAAGTCTACACCTTACCCAGTGGTGTATTCTGGTTTGGGGCTGCCCTAGGCAAGACACAACTCGGGCGTCCCCCACGACTAAATTTACCCCACCCCTTCCTGTTTAATACTTTTTGCGTAACCTGTCAGTCGCTGGATACAGTGCGCACACTGTATCCAGCTTTTGACATGTTCCACTATTAGCGCAGCAGGAAAGCTGTGGTCCCTGGTGGGCTCTACAGGATCTGTGGTGGTCTCTGCGGGGTCTCAGGTGGGCTGTGAAGGATCTCTGGTGGGCTCTGCAGGGTCCACCATAGACCCCGCAGAGGCCATCACAGATCCTGCAAAGCCCCCCTGAAACCCAGCAAGGCCCCCTACAGATCCTGCAGAGAGCCCCTCAGGGGGGCTGTGCAGGATCTATGGTGGGCTTTGCAGGCTGCAGAGCCCCCTACAGATTCTGCAAAGCCCACCACAGATCCTGCAAAGCCCCCTGAGACCTGACAAAGCCACCCACAGATCCTGCAGTCTGCAGGATCTCAGGGGGGCTGTGCAGGATCTATGGTGGGCTTTGCAGGCTACAGAGCCCCCTACAGATCCTGCAGAGCCCACCAAAGGGTATTGTACAGCCCACCTGAGACTCTTGGTTGGGCTGTGCAGAATCTATGCTGGGCTCTGCCAGCACAGTCCTCTTACCTGGCACGGAAAACCCCGCCTCCTCCGTCGCCGTCTCTGCCCACCCGCCTCCTCCGTCTTCCCCCCCTTTGCCTCCTCCATCTCTGCCCCATCTCTTCTGTCTCCACCCCCAGCTTCCTGCCTCCTACTGCTCCGTCCCCCTCTCCTCCTGCTCCACCGCCCACCGATTCCTCCCCGTTCACATTAAATGTTTTGGGAGGTGGCATTCTTGCCGCCCCCCTGGAATCTGCCGCCCGAGGCAAACGCCTTGTTTGCCTTGCGGCAGGTATGCCCCTGTCCTTACCGTAGTCATACCTCTTGCCCTAACTGTAGGCTATTCCTAAGCTTAGACGAAGACTGCTCAGTTATCCCCATCACAAATCTAACTACAGTTCTGGTTGGAGAGCTTCAAATGCTTGCATATTATCTCATAATGTACGTTTTTTCTTCCTCTTCATGAAATAAGATTTAAAATGTGCATTAAAAAGATTAAAGCTCACCTCAGATGTACTGGCTGCCTTTTCCAGCACAACTCCAATCTAATCTAAGGTCCCTATTGCACACACATACAGGGACAATTTAGACAGAAGCCATTTAACCTTCTAGCATGTCTTTGGAGTGTGGCAAGAAACTGGAGTAACTAAATGAAACCCCACAGGGAGAAAATGCAAAGTCCTTGCAGTTAGTGTCCGGATCAGGATTTGAACCAAATGACCCTGAGTGCTACACGTCAGAAGTGCTAACCTCTAAGCCACTGTGCCATTCCTGTTAACAGAGCTCAGATCATACCACCAAATTGAGATGTGCAGCATGTAGTTCTTTTGTTCAGTAGAACATGGTGGGAATAATCGCATCATACCACACTGTGCCGACAGAACCTAATGACATTTCAAAAAACTTCTAATAAAAAAAGTAAACACCAGGATTGGCATATCAGCACTGCTACCTGGCAGCGCACCCCAGGGCCCGTGCCTTCAGCATGTTGTTTATGTGAACGTGCCTTAATGCTTTATAGTATATTATATAGATTCAGTTTACCAAGTGCAGAAGGTTCTTCATGTGCAATCCTTTGAGTCTGTAAGATTTCATTGTACCCATAATCTGTGATTTTTAACACAAAGCGTCCATCTACTACACAATTACGGGATTTGAGTCGACCATGAATAAACTTTCTGTGATGTAAATACTTCATGCCCTGTGCAAGACACAAGTGAAAATAAATATTCAATCATTTAGAAAATAAAGCATACTTTTAGACATACAAAAATACAGAACAAGCATTATATATTTTGACATTGTTTACAGTATACAAATTAAGTCATAAGAGTATTCCTACTAAAGATTAGGTTGCCCTAGGTACATGTGTATAATTAAGCCCTTGTTTACATGCTCCGCCCAAGGATATATTACATTATGCCCCCACCTTTAAAAAAATATATAAATCTTTGATGAAAAAATTGAAAATATATTTACCTTGCACTCGACTTCTGCACTGGAGAGATTTACTTACAATCCTTCCAGGGTGAATCTGGGAACACTGAGTATCCCAAATCTAATAGGAAAGAGTGTCTTCTCACGAGATTTGGAATCCTCATGGTTCCCAGCATCTTGTGGGGAAAAAAATGTGATGTTAACCTCTCCAATGCAAAAATTGGTGGAAGCTAAGTATGCTTTCTAACTTTTATTCAAATTGTATATTTTGTTTCACAGATATCATGCAATGTTTTAGAATGGAGGTGGGAGGCCTGATGTAGTATATATAGAGAGAGAGAGGTTTTTTTTTCTAATATGTTATTTTTTCAGCATCTGACAATTTTTTTCCTTTGCTTTTCTTTAATGAAATAGTTTTGCTTTTTTAAAAAGCACCATTGAGCAAATCTGCAAATCTCCCCACAGTTATTTTATCTTCTCTATATTCTATCTTCTCTTTCTTATTCAGGGATGATAATCTTCTCACAATATAATAGCTTAGGACACGGTTAGGTGTTAAGGAATGTATGCCATATCTTAGTGTACTACCGTACTTAAGGGCTAGTTTAGGCAGGCATTGCTTATACAGGTGAATTGGACTTCAAGCATCTTGCAGTATGTGCCTCTCCATTCTTCCACCATACTCTGGTTCCTTGGTTTCCAAATGAGATCAGAAAAGAGGACTTTGGACATGTGAAATAAATGAACTTTTGCACGATATTCTAATTATTCGAGTTTCACCTGTAAATGCAGCACTTTACATTCAAACACAGTATTGTATTTGAATGCAAAGTTTAGCAGGAGTTACATTTGACATGTTTTGTACAAAAAAATGCAAAGTAAAGCTGGTCAAAAGCAGCCTTGGAGTACTCCTTCTCACTACACAAAGTAAATGGTAATATGGTGATGCTTCAATCGTACATCAAAAAGCAGAAAAACAAAGGGAGTAATGCTGGTTACTTGCTGTCCAATAAACCCCTGGAGAAATCCTTACACTATTATTATTGTCTTCCTGGTCCTCTGACTTTTCTATTAGGCCCAAGGCTGTGAGGGACAGGCAAGGATATACAGAGAATAAATTGAACCAAAGCTTCATAACGCTCACAAGCCCCTATTATCCCCTCTCACAGGATCACTGATGTGCACCTTAGCCACCCCTAAACTGGAAAGCCTTAGCGCCACTCTTCCAGATCAAACACCCTACTGATGTCCCAGATTGTGTTCAAGGCAGATCTCCTGGGTTGTCATTCCACATTGGCATTTTCATCTTCTAGTTGCCCTTCTCCTGCAGAACCACAACCAGGGGAAGTCATTGTTCCTGCTGTGTCGAAGCAGCCCCTGTACATACAGTATATCCAGGCTTAATGCTGCCTGTGCCCAGAGCCCCTCTGTCTCTTGCCATCCTGGATTGTGCCACCCCCTTTCTCGTGGGCACATTGCATCTTATTCTCACCTGCAATGCCACCGCCAGTGGCAGAACCCCTGGGGACCTCTTACCTGACCCTAGGGTCCTGTGGATCCCTGTTGAGAAACCCTCTTCTAAAGCATTATAAACCAGTGTGCTGAAAACATGCTACAGCATTTAATGGTTTTATTTTTTTTATTTCCTCTTTACTATTGAGAGGCATTATGAGTAGATCTACAAAACAAACTGCTTCTGGTTTGTGTAAACAGGTCATAGTTCTTATATACACCATAAACAGCGATTGAATACCAAGTAGTGACATACTGGTCATACTTATCTTTAGCTATAAAAAATGATCCTGTAGTGCTTTGATAATTTGGTTTGTTCAACCAGAAATGATAGTGAACCCCATGGATCAGCACTGGAAAACAATGACCTGCTATTTAATTGATTTTTTTAACTGTCTGATGCCGATCATAAACATGTCAATCTGAGCTTTTGATAAAACAATCCCTTTGAGTATCTGATCAGATCTAACAATTAGCAAACATTTGTCATAGCCTTTTCAATCATTTTCAGTAATTTTGCAGAATTAGATCAAACATAAGCGCTATCATATGAGTTGGGAAATTCCAGTCATTTTGAAGCTGATTATGTGGTGTATGAAGAAAGTCATTGATTGTGAAGGTCATGTTCAATTTTTGTTGACTTTTTCTAATAAACAGTTGATTGAATTAATATACTGTAGATGACTATAATATCTGTATTGTATTAAGTCATCAGGGTTGATTTACTAAAGGAAAAGCACTTTGCAAGGGAATGTTTTAATTGCAAGGGAATTTTCACTTTGCCTAATGAATGTGGGGAAGCTACACTGACTTCAATTATCCAATCACGTGCAAACAACGTTCCTGGTTTTTTAAATTTTCCTTGCTTGTGATTTGGTATTCTTTGCAATGTGCAATGTTTTCCATATTCAATTAATAAAAATTCCTTTTTGAAGTGAAAATTCTCTTGCAAAGTGATCATGCTTTACTCCTTTAGAAAATCATTAGACAAATATGATCTATTGCATGAACAAAATACACTGCTTGTACGTCCAGCATCAGGAAATCAGTTTTAGCCCACAGCATCCATTACAATACTCCAACATTGTGATAGCCTAATGAAAGAGATGAAAGGGGAAATGTAAGCAACAGGAACACATGTCCATTCTACTTTCTTGGTAAAAAAAAGGGACATGGGGTCTATAAAACAGTGAAGTAAAAGTAAGAATCATGTGGCGGTCCTGATCTCTGAAGGTATTGTGGTTGCCATCTCTCACTGCCCATTAGCAGATATGCAGAACTCTGTATCATTTTACAGAAAATTGCCCTCAATCTACAAAACAATTATTTCATAATAGATTTGAGTTGGAGGTATTCTTTAGGAAATCAAAGGTAAGATATGTTTGTCTTTCTTACCTTGATAAGATCTAAAAGAAGGGAAGATTTAAACATCCAGTCAAGTTTGACATCTTTATTTCGAAGGAGGTCCTCTAAGCTGCCCCTGGAACAAAATTCCGTGACAATGGCAAAGACTCCGCAGTCATGGAAGAACCCAAGGAATGGGTTAACATTTTCGTGACGCATGTCCTTCATCTGTCCACAGAAATATACAAAGCAGTAGCATAAGTCCAAGGCACTGTAATACAATGGTTAAATATAAGCTGTGAACAGGACGTTGCTCACCATTTCAAAAACATCACTTGTTCCAGGCTTAATGTCTCCAAAATCACCTGATGGGAACTTTTTCATCCATACCCAGTCACCCTTAAAAGAAGGAATGTTTATGTAACATTGTGTACATTTAGAGGTATCTACTGAATGCTAAAGGTTCAAATCAAATTCATGCTGAGTTTAAATAAATATGCTATATACACTGATGTCCTAAATAATTTTTGGGAAAGGAAAACATTGCCTGCTGCGCTCCCTTCTTTAATAGATGTAAAGTTCTTAAGGTTTATAATAGCTTCAAAGAATACCACAAAAGGTGACATCAGACTAAGAGCACCATCATGTTTTTTTTATGGATATATTCAAATAGTCATGTGCAAATTATTTACGTGCATAGGAACCCACACAGCTGCCATGTGACTGGGTGCTACTGATGCTTGTTGCTTGCACTTTCTGTCTGTTTTCCCCCTGAAAGCCTATTCTTCTAACGTTCATGCAATGCCAGTGGTATCAAATGCTGCTGCCTGTAATGACTTGCATGCACAAACTATCTGCATGCTTTATAGCTAAACTTCAGGCAGACATAAAATAAACTCACCAATTAATGAAAATATGTGGTCATTAAAAATGATTACATTTATTTTAAATGCAACTAGTATGAGCACCCAAGACTTGATATCAGCCTCTTGTTGGTATCAGCCTCTTGTAATCCCTCTACAGCAGCAGTTAGGCTGGGAGAAGGAAAGGCAGCATTAGGTGCCAATCAGCTATGCTGCAGTGCACAAGAGCTAGCAATGAAAATTCTGAAAGGAAAAGAGAGTAGTGTTGCTCCTTCACTATCCAATGCCAAGCTGGAGGTGAGAAGGCGACCTACCTGTATTCCTAAACTGTAGTAGAGAAAAGTCAGGTCACCAACCTGGCTCTGCCATCTGATAGAGCTATGTAGGTCTCAGAACTGGCTGGACAGAAATACAAACCCTTCTGAAGGTAAAACAGATATATGTATGTCTCTCACTTGTGTATTTAATTGTTTACCTTTGAGTTCAGCAGTAGACTTTAGCATCATCAGTATTTTCAGTAGTTTTGGTATCAATACTATTGGCTAGAATTGAGGATATTTCAAAACCTGGCCTTACTTCTGTGTGGTCAAATTGTATATATATCCAGTCACCTTGGGTGTCTTTACTTGTTTATGGTCGTCTATAAATAAATTAGGGCCTTTATTTACATACATTTACTGGTAGAATATGCCCATAGATAGTCCATGCAGCTATGGGCCCAGTGACTGTAGGGCCTATGTCTTCTGCCCTCCTTTTCAATGAACCCATTGTGGTATGCATTATTCTGATCAAGCTGCCTGCTCAGAATATCTGTATAGTAGTAGCAGTTGCAGATTTACTTTAGCGCAAGTCGAACACCGGCCTGTTATTATCCACTTATATATTATGTAAATCTGCTTAATCTAATGTTTCAGAGAACAAATTAATTATGGCTGTGCAAGCCTTTGTAATGGAGAAGAGATTAATGTATTCAGGGAACAAGATAATGTTTTACTTAGGTAGTTGTTTTGTTAAATATTACCTACCTCGTAGACTGCTACATTGGAGTTTTCATAAGTAGCTGGGGTGAGACTCTTAACAGAACCAGACCTCATTGGAGACCTCATGCTCCTGGTGTCTGACATCACCTGTGCACTGTCACTGGTGCGACTACCATCATTGCTCATTTTCTGTAAAGAAAGTTTCACAGTGTAATATAGATAAGTAACCTGCATTTATACCAGATAGGAGGAATAATTTATGAGGCATAGAAATAATTAAAATAAAAAAATGCTAACCATCTAATAAACTTTGGTTACCATGACTTTGGTTCCCATGACATTTCTGTCGCCAGCTCTAGAGTAAATTCTGAGATTAAATGACCAAAACTGTTAGATTTTGATGCTGATCTTAAACTCTCTATTCACCACTTTGCAAAGATTATTGCAAATGACATACATTTTATTGGGAACATCGGGCTATATCATTCCATATGGGGTGCATAAAAAAAATTGAGGTGAACTGCAAACCAGCAGCATGAGTGTTGCTAGTGATTGAACAGATTGGATCTTTTTTGTTTGATATCATATTAATCATCCTTATTGCTAAAGCAACTAACACACCTACGGTCTTGGTCTAGGATCCAAAGGGCTCCATAGGGGCGACATTGAATTCCACTGTATGATCAATAAAATCTATAAGGCTACTGTTACTTTGAAAAGAAAGTACACTTTTTAGTCAAGATCCTTACTTTTATTCAACTAACCTTGAACCTGTGTCTAGGGAAATGTCACCCTTTGTCAGGCATGCATTTATTAGTGAACTAGTTGTATTTGTATTGGGATCACATTACTCTTACCTTGATACTGATTTGAGGATTAATAAATGTGACATCATTCAGAGTCAGGAGAATTTTGTCAGGCCCTCTAACTAGTTTGATTTTATTAATACGACGCCTGAAAATCACAAGCACAAAGAAGTTTGGGTTATACATTTTCATCACATGAATGGCTAGATTATGTGCATTCCATATACAAAATACATTGTTTGCAGAATCAATATGCAGACTATGAGCCCAATTGGAAATAAATATATTACTGTTGTTGCAGATATTACATACTTGTCTACTGCGAAATATTGGCCCCCAACCACAAAATGGCTACCTCCAATGTCATGGCTACTTTCCTGCCTAATCTCTAAATTAGACAGGTACATGTATATTAGATGTATTATATTAGATCTTAAAATAATACCTTATAACATAAGCAAGTCCATTTATAGAGATGATGGCAACAAGTATGCACAGAAAGATCATTAACGCAAAGGCAGGATCAATACCTAAGAAAAACAGAGAAGTCATTTTAGAAAATGTTATTTATCATTTTAGGCTTTTTGCAGGCTCACATTGGAAAGATATCTGTGAAATAATGAAAGGAGCAACCATATGCCTCCCAGGACCTATATTTACCATTGGCCACTTATAGCCCATTGTATCAAGGGCAAAAAGGTGAGAGAAACAGCACCAAAATACAAGATATTTACAGCAAATTGTGTATGTTTTCCTGTATTTTGTCTCGTCTGACCAATTCTGAACGCTTTAAGATACCTGAAGCAGTCAACCTGAAGAAGACTCAAAAGACACTCTTTATCTCCTATACATAAAGCAGAGATGACTGCTGGCTCCAGCAGTGCATTCTAGTTTAAATATTCTAAATAAAACATTTTTAATGCACTGAGATAAAAAGAGAGTAGCCAGTGTGCAATGGAACAATTGTTCTCACATGCCTAAGATAGGGTGATCTTTAAACACATAAGACTGCTGCCTGCCCTCCACAATGTTGCTGCTGCTGAATCAGGTCTGTGTGGCCTGTCCACAAATATTGGTCTGCATGCATACCAAAAAAACACAGTTTCTGCTATTAAAGGAGCTTTTTCTTGTAATGAAAGGATCATTGCCTCTTCAACTTTCTAGTGATCTGGCTGCCATACCAGCCCAATTGCTTATATACTTTGAATCAAATGACCTGAGGACAGTGGCCTGTCATTGAATGACAACAAATGGGCAGATCTGGACGTGACATCACGTCCAACACTGCCCATTGTTTTCATTCTGCCGGGACCTGAGAAGACCCATTTGACAGCTGCCGGCACAATGTCCACAAATAGGCAGAGCCAGCAGTGATGTCACCACTAGCGCCACCTAGTTGTTGACATTGTACCGGCAGATGTCAAACTTTTATTCTGAGGTGGAAGTTTGTCAGGTGCAGACAGGTTGGCGGGCGTCAGTTTTTTTTGTTTTGATTTCGACGAGTTGGCGTCATCATGGACAATGCTGGACGCCGTGATTGACCTTTGGATTACGTCGCTGGATGCAGTTCTTTAATGTTTTTATTTTTTGTATTTTTTATTAAAGGAATTGCCAAAAACTTTTGTTGTGTTTTTTTTTTTCACTTTAACCCTCTAGTGAATCAGTACCCCTTACTTATTCACAAGGGGAGCAGCACCTGGATTTTTTAAAGGGGTACCCCAATGCAAATAAGCCCCTCTGCCCACAGACTCCCACAACCACCGGGCCAGGGTTGTGGTGGAAGAGGCTGTTGTCCTCATCGGCATAGGGACAAGGTGCTTTTCCGGG